CAGCAGCTTGTCGCGACGTTTTGTCCGGACACGGCAGCAGCTTGTACGACGTTTGTCCGACACGGCAGCAGCTTGTACGACGTTTGTCCGACACGGCAGCAGCTTGTACGCCAGCCTGTCCCGTTCTCAGTACAGATGTTCACCAGCTCGCCAGAACCGGCATCAATCAGACCCGCATCGCTGCTTCTCCCGTAACCCACTTCAGCAGCCCGGAACCTATTGTCTGCTCATCAACACGGATTTAATGGTATCTTCTTCGCATTGGCCCCACTGAGATCAGTTCACGGCCTGCTGCTACAGGAATTCTGCTTCGATGTTTTTTTTTAAGGAATCCTCCTTGAAAAGCCTTGGGCTAGGGTCTTCTCTCTTTGATGAAACTTGAACCCTACCCCACTCCTCAGGAACCTCGTAATCGTCCTATTCGCCCCACTAGGATCACAGCACGGTTCTGCTGATACAGGAATCCGCCTGCAATGCTTTCTTTTGTCTTCGGGAATGCTCCTAGGAAATCCCTGGGCTTGTGTCTTGATGAAAGTTGAACTCTGCCCTACTCTGATCTTGGAAGATCCTGTTGGAAAAGCGTCTCCTTGCAGAGCAACGACGCAGCCCAGAATCTACCGACTCAGTACAACGCCATCTCCGTAAAGCTTCTTGCTCTCTACTGAGGCAGCGATACAGGCTGCCTTCTGAGGGGGCAGGCCACGGTGTTGCTATTATGGAAGATCAAATCTCCAAACAGATCTTTAGGTAGCTAACACATTATTCAATCAGCCTCTGCCTGGAGAGATCGTTCTGGCGGCGTGAAGTATAGACGGCAGCTTAGAACAGACCTCGGCACTGCTCTTTGCTGAAGTGGAGCCGGCAACTCAGCCCAACCCGCCTGTTCCGCCCGGAGTCCGGTCACGCCTGTGCCTATCGATCCGAGACTCCCGCCGCTGCTGCCTGCACGCCTGGCCGGCTCCTCACGCGTAATCAGGCTAATATTCCCGCTCAGACGACCGCCGGCCGGGCGGGCTGCCATGGTAACGTGTTGTCATGGTGACGTGCTGCCATGGTAACGTCTCAGCTGACGCACCGCTCCGGTTCTCACCTGAAAAATAGCGAGAGTCAGACGTGAATGAACTTCGGGATCAGGATATTCTTTTTATAGTCCATGAGCCATAGCAGGTCTTGGTTCCGGTGTCAAGCCATATACATGACCCCCCTGCCAAATACATGATCCTGCCAAATACATGATCCTGCCAAATACATGATCCTGCCAAATACATGATCCTGCCAAATACATGATCCTGCCAAATACATGATCCTGCCAAATACATGATCCTGCCAAATTCATGATCCTGCCAAATACATGATCCTGCCAAATACATGATCCTGCCATATACATGATCCTGCCAAATACATGATCCTGCCAAATACATGATCCTGCCAAATACATGATCCTGCCAAATACATGATCCTGCCAAATACATGACTCTGACACTACTTGGGGGTTTCCAATATACCTGAGACAACGGGTGGGAGGGATTTAGTCGTAATGTGGGAGACTAAACGAAACCTAACCCCAATCGCAAGTCTAACCCTAGCCGTGAACAATGATCCCAACTCTATATAAACCCTAACATCAACCCAACACCAACCCTACCAACCCTATCTCTAACTCTAACACCAACCCAACCCTAGCCTTAAACACCTGACCTCTCACGTACATGTATGTGACAGCTCGAGGATTTAACTATCAACACTGGCAACAGAAAACCGAGAAGGATGGAGAAAGAACTACTTGTCAGATCGTCAGTAGCTGTACACGTGGTGCCTCTACGGACGAATATTTAGACTAGATGGAAGAGAACCATCCTGTGGCACTGATTCCACCTACCTGGGAAACTGTAGCTGTATTTATGCATGCCATGCAAACCCAAGATTCAGCAAGAAGGTTAACAGCATCACCCTGTCCCCATGTGTGAATATAAAACACGCTGCGTCAGCATAACGTGACCTTTTCCTGGTACAGACGCGTCAAAAGGACTGCATTATCCACGGTTCCCGCCATTAGGACGTCCCAAACGGCTCATACATACACAGTTAAGTAGTAGCAGAATGTTTTATTCATTTGTCTAAAATTAAGACTGTACAACTCTAGTGAACGCCTGTTGACAAAGATATATCTTAAAAAGAAGGGAGTTTAAAACAGCTGAGAAAATTTGGGTAAAAGTTCAATTGTTCAAATGTTTTTATTATAGCCCTGTATGGATGAGACCGTGTTTCACCTATTAAGAAGTGACAGAAAAGTGCTGCTGTATGTGACCAGAGGGACCATCCGGCAGCCGGGTCCAAATAGCGAGGCATTAACCCAGTTTTACCGACTCTATAATGACTCTTACAACATATATTGTACCTGCTGAGACATATTTCTAATGCCTATCTAATTCTCTACCTGAATAGGTTAGCATTAGGATCAGACACGGTTCTGGATAGTCTCTATTGTACCCAGAACCGTGTCTATCTAGTTCTATGCATGAATGGGTTAGGGTTAGGATCAGACACGGTTCTGGATAGTCTCTATTGTACCCAGAACCGTGCCTATCTAGTTCTATGCATGAATGGGTTAGGGTTAGGATCAGGCACGGTTCTGGATAGTCTCTATTGTACCCAGAACCGTGCCTATCTAGTTCTGTGCCTAGGGTTAGGATCAGGCACGGTTCTGGATAGTCTCCGCGTATCCAAGAATGTAGAGTTGCCCCAGGCACGGTTCTGGATATGCGTTGACTATCTAGAACCGTGCACGAACATGGTTTTGGATACAACAAGACATTGGCAGCGTTATTCTTTACTTACATGCTGTTCAGCAGTTCGGCTTAATAATATTTTATCATTTCGTCGGACATTTCATCAGGATTTATTTTCTGTACTGGTATCTTTTTGTTTTCGTCAGCCAAACGGTGGAGTATTGGATACTGTCTTATAACCACAAGATCTGCTTGGAGATTATATACACGTCTCTTGACTTGCCTTCGTTGACCAAGTAAATACAGGTTAAAGTAGGAGGTGGCTGTGCACTAGGATAGGACAGGCCTGTGGAACACAAACGGTTTGATCTGACTATGGATTTTCCTACTTCCGTCCGTCCTGTTTCCCAATACCCGATGCCGGCAGCTGTGTGTGCACGGTAATTCTCTAATAACGGACAGGGCTCCAAATTCATTTTTGGGAATAGGTGCGCTGGTGCACCAAAAGTAAAAAATTGGGTGCGCAAATATGTTTAGGGTGCACCAAATGAGATAGAATAAATAGAATGTTGGCAATAAATCTACTACGTTCTGGATTCGAGTGGACTATCCAGAGCCGAGCCTGAGCATGGTTCTGGATAAAGCACGATCCAGAATACACCAACACCAGATAACTGCGCGTTAGACCCTGTTTATGTGAGAAATGTTGGCAGCGTTCCCAGAGCCGCTAAACTCCCGTGCGTTACGCCGCTGTAAAGGACACGGAGTCTCATCCCAAATGTCAAACTGCGCTTCCTGATTCTAACGTGATGTTATAAGGCAGAAGGGGGGGGGCAATACCGGGGAAAGGGAATGGCAGACGAAAAATGTCCAGACTATGCATAATGTTCCAGCCCAGAAAAGAACGAGAAATAGCCATGCCTTCAAGTACCAAGGATTGAGGTGTTGAAAAACTCATTAGGGTATCATCACTAGAATGCTTTAAACAAATCAGCTATACAGATACAGATACGGAACTGTTGGGAGTATAACAAATACAAAATCAAGAGAAACATACCCTGAAAATAATTTTATCAGGTTGGATAGGACGTAGAATATAGGGATTTTCCTCTTACACAACCTGTATGCGTAGTGATTCCTACCTTGCTTACGTTTTGGTGTCTATCAGACACCTTCCTCAGAGCTTCTGACTGGAGTTCTGCTTCTTGCCGCTATTTGTAGCCGATGTAGGTAGCACAAGAGAAACATACAAATATAACTGTACAGCTCCCGAATGACACTTGGTATGATGACGTTGTATTTCGTGTTCCTATTTTTACACGTATTTCTATTGTTCAGCATTCACGAGGTTAGAGTATGTTGTAATACCATTATGGTATCTAAAAAAAGCTACACATGAAGCTGTCATTGGCCTTTAATATGAATGAGTGAATGAATTAATGGTTTATTTTCATTTTGATCGGATATGGAAACTACATGGCAACCATAGGCTGAATTGCGTACTTTTTACATATTAAAAAAATGTTGGCATTAGGCAATTTACCGATTAGTGCTCATCTTATCGTTCCTATCTAACAATATACATATGAAATTATATTTGCTATATATACACAGACTGTCCTAGCGTTT